ATCATCATTTTAGTCCAGAGCTGGCCGTGGTAAAAAGGCAAGGGTCGTCGACTGACTGGCAGCAAATCCCCATTCTTCTGTAAAGTCATTCAAAATCGGTGTACAGTATCCCCACGTCAATACAACCATTCATTAAAATATCTCGTCGAAAGTGCCAGCATGTATTTTATCTTCGGCTTGGTACTTTGGGGGTTGTCTGGAGAGGATTTTACCCCACGCATTCTTTTAGAGCATTCGACCCGTTTAACTCCTATTCGCGAGCCGTCCAATGCCGTTTCATGATATCTGGTCCCATTATGGTAAACGGGGGTTAATTGCTCTTTCCTACGGTACATTTGTAATATCTAAAAATGGTTGTGAGAAGGCTCAAATGACATTATTTATTTAAAGCATAAACCTCAAAAGTATAAATGTTCTAGAATCTGGCGAGGAATTTAGCGTCCTGTTCACACCGGGAGGTGTGAAGCCCCAAGGAAATGTTCGTTAAAGAGTAGTGGGAAGCTACTTTTTAATTGTTTGGTAGTAATAGGGAGCCAAAAAACAGCCCTCTGAGGAAAGGAGGGGAACAGTCGCCCGTTGCTTTCAATTTGTGATGTATGTATATTCCAAGGTCACACTATTTACAGATTAAGCCAACTTCAAGTCACTATTACTCAAGCAAAAGGGATTCCCTCTTTTCGAAAAGCCAGTAGCAGCCGTAGAAGGTCATCCTCGTCCATGGTCCTTGCCCGAGACGACTCGAACCCGGAACTCTGAAGGATGTGTCGCACTTTCAATGCCATCGCCTCGAGACCGACCGCTCCTGCTTCTGAAATTTCAGGGGGATCAGGTGCTGGTTTGTCTTCTCCCTCCTTTCGGGTCTCTAGGAGGGTTAAGTAGTTCTTGCGGAGAAGGGCGATAGTGGCATCCGCCTTAAGGTTGGAGGCGACTGTCTTGTTCTTCCGATGAAACACCAGACGCAAGAAACCATCCCATTCCGAAAATGAAACAGGAGGCTTGGGGTGGCGGGGCTCTATCCTCAGAACAGCGGAGTCGACACGTGGTGGCGGCTTGAAACTGTTTCGACTAACCTATTAAAGGACACACGTTACTCAAATTCGACGCTAAAATCGAATTCACAGACGGCCAACACTACAAAAGAACAAGTACACCGTATCCCGGTAACCGCTTCATTAGCTTGAGAAACTGAGCCACTAAGCTACATGTTCTGGAAAATTAATGCGTGTACAATTAAAGGCTCTAAAGTGCAATACAAGCATGATAGACAAGATGCAAGTGGGAAACCCACCTTTAAGAGTTGAGCTATCTTGAAGTGAAACTGGGCGTTGGCCGAGAGTCTGCAGTAAACCTTGGAACCAGGCTGGGCAAGTAAACGATCAGCAAATTCCTTCTGTAGCATTACGACGACGGCGCGAAAATGGTGTTGTATGGTGACAAGACGACCAATAAATGGGGAAGAAATCTGATATGGCAGGTTTGCAACGCAAAGATCAAATTTAGGCCAATTTGTTGCCTTGATGACATCTCCGACTGTAATTTCAAGTTTACTACGGTAGGGACTGTCAAAGAAAGGCTGTGAATTAGGTCTGATCAAGTGAACCAATTTTTTAAATAGTTCACATTCGGTTACAACAGAAATGTCTGCGTAACAGCTCAAAGGAAAAATAGTTTTTGACAAGGTAATCCCCTCATGGGTAGAACTACAAAGATCTTTACAGTTCACCAGGCAAAGGAATAACATAATTTAATTAGAGCAATCTAAGTCGACACGTGATGTAGGCTTAGGGGAATTTTATTATAGACATGATTTTTTACACCGACACACCATCTGATGAATCGATGTTAGGAGGTTCCCTACTTTTTGATACTAGCTATCTTAAAAAAATTTGTTTGGGTGACAGGAATGGGTTTTGAAATTGAACCAAAGCGCTTTTACAGCCGCCAATAATAACTGATCCCAACCAACTGCAATCCCTATAGTGATGACACCTTTTAATTTGAAGTTCCGCATTATATTCAAATTACAAAGTATCGAGTTTAGGCTTATGCAGATAATGTACCACACCATGACAAAGTGACAGTATCATTTACATTCCAGTGATCCATATTTATCCTACCGGACGTCAATAAGCTCACATTAGATTAAGCCAATATTACTAATAAATGGATTTATCAAATGGCAAAGCATGCTACAAGTAGCGAAATCTGGAAACTTACGTATATTGAACTCGCTTTTGTAACTCGGCCACCATCCTTGGATCCAGTTCAAATGCACAAACTTTTTTCGCCTTTTCCAGTAGTTTCATAGTTAAGTTTCCGGTGCCGGAACCAATTTCAAGAACAGTGTCAATTGGTTTTATTCCAGCTTTTTCAACGATACATTGAATAACTAAGGGATTTTTAAGAATATGTTGCCCCTTGTCTCGCTGAAAGCGAATCCCGCCTGATTTAAGACCTAAGGCATCCTTATTTCTTTTTGAAGTTGGCCGCATCGCGTGAATCGCTACAAAGTTTTTAAAACAGCGGCCCACTTAGACAAGCATTATAACGAATCTTAAATAAAATTTTCACTAACCATTTAAACTTAGTATGTGTGTTCCAGTTTCCAAACATATTTTCAGGTATTTTGAAATATAAATTTTGTTATGAAAGACAACAAACATGTAGATTCAAAATGGTTTCGCCACAAAAACAAACTAAGTCAAAGGTTATATTTAGGTAACAATGCATAAAGCTCCGTGTCACATATTTCGTTCTGATCAGCCGATTCTTAGTAGATGCATAAACTCATTACATCAAAAAAATTTGTTTTAAAATGGTCTAGATAGTTGTTTTGTAAGACGCATTAAGATTTTAAAGAACTCTGTGCCCATGTAAATGAGATGTTGACCATTTAATGTGCTTAATAGGTTAAACAAGTTTTAGAAATGAGAATTTTATTAGAATGCACTATCCGCCAATTCAGCCTGACTTACGTGGTCACCGTGCTCCGATTTTTTAATTACACATGAAAAGGACATTTGGTTCGCCAGTTCAACAACCAGTTAATTTAAAATTAAGTAACGAATTTAATGCTGGCGAACTAATTTTCATGGACGAAGCATGGCTTTATATAAGGCTATTTAATTGGTTGGTTTTGTAAGGCGAACAATAGTTTTACCAACGTAATGTTTTCTAAAAGCTTCAGTGTTTATTTATAGTTTACGCTTTAAATAGTTGCCACAAATAATGTCTAATGAGCATTTTCTCTTCAAATAGAGAGTTTGTTTAAGCGACCCAACTTTAACCTGCAAGTCGGCAGCGGTGAATGTTAATTCGAAGGAACTGGCTTGTGCGGGTAATTCGTCAGCGTTGTTCTTGGCTTTGTCTGGTTCGTCGTCGAAGCTGTGCCTTGGTAGCTTTCGAAATTTACCCTTTTTTGTAAGTACAGTTTTAGTGAGATTTTTAACTTTATAACCGCTTTTTTATGCGAATTAATTGGTTTGACCTAGTCGATTTATTAAATACTACGTTTATTGTGATTTCGTGTATAATCGGACAAAATTGCAGATTCCCCTGTTTTGATTTTTCTAGTGTGTGTCACTGCTTTAATTTCAATCTTTATGGATGATTGAATTTGAACGCTTTTATGTAACTGATGGTTGTACATAAATTCTGTCCTCTAACTTGGTAATTGAAATAGTTTTGACAACTGTTTCCTTTAGCAGTCAGTTTTGATTTTCTTAAGTGGGAACTGTATGCGTAGTAGTCAATATATTGACTCTTTCGTTGTATATTGCCCTTCAAATAGAAATTTGACACTATTTTTCTGTGTCAGTTAATAGTATGCGTCCTCCACAAACACCTTGCACCAAGACTGCAGCAGGGCGGACCTTGAAATCTTCGAAAAACTGGCACACGAAGAACGCTCTGAATATTTCGCGAAAAATTCTCCAGAAGTCCGGTAGGTTTTCCTCATGTTAATGTCCATTGTTGGCATGTAGTTTGTCAACAAAACAGGCGTGTTGACACCCTTCAACTCAACAATGTCCAACTCGCTCGAAGGGTGTCTGAGTTGCAAAAAGAACTCACCCAAAGGGATGCAGAACTCCAGGTGTCTCGCGAAGAGGCTTTCCAGCTGCGAATGCAACTAAATCGTCTCCAGAATAACACCTTTGAGGTACTTTTGTAGCCATTGTTTTGTGACTTCCCTATTTCCTACTTCATTCTGTTCCCCTTTCGTACATAACTTCGCCTAGATCCTTTTTCTGTTATTTTCTTAGTGACTTTTATAGCTCCATTGATTCACTTTAGCCATCGCTTTACACGCTTCGCGATATTTTGGCCTCCATGGTAGAGGAGTCCTATAAAGCCCATCAGATAGCCTCGAATGCGTGCAGTAAATTGACATCGGCAGCTACCTGTGATGCCTCAACAGCTGGAGAGGATTCTGTGGCCCTGGAGAGGTCGATCAATATGTCTTTTGCAAATATCGAGGCTACCTCACCGGCTACACCAGGGTACGTGCATTGTCGGTGAAAACCGCTTTAAAAGTTAACCACCACTCTGCGTATCGTTCGTTGAACAACCACTTTAATATCTATTTTATTCCTGTTGCTCTAGCTCTGTCTTAGCGGTGGGACAGCCAGCCCTATCTGACGCTTATTTTGAAGGCGAACCTTGTCAACCCACTGAGGTGCCTGAATCTGAATACCCAGCAACTCGAGAAAGCGCCCAGTCCGTTGACATGGACTGCGACTCGTTCACACGTACTTCTACTTCTGTGAGTCGGCTTAGTCTAATCATCTTTAGTTCACACCTTGTACTCGTTCACCGATATTGGTATGAGGTATTTCCACTTCCGCCTGTATTCCCGATTCATTATCCATCCTAGGTCAGTTTGTGGTTAATGTTTTTCAGTCTGCTGGCAATGTTTGCTTGTGGATTAGGCTCATTTCAGTGTGATTGTAGCACTTATGACACGCAATGCGTAAAATGTGGGTCTTGAACGCTGCCTGTCATTGTCATTCTGGGTTTGCTTGTTTCTGCACGGTCATCTAGTCAAGCTCTCATGCCAAGTCTGTACGCCAGTGTTTTCTGCACTTTTTATTCACGCTACCAGACACAAAAGTCTTAACTTTGGCTTATTGTTGTCTAGTCAGTATCATGCGATCGAATTCGTTGAAATGGGTACAAGACTGTCTTCGTTTTTCTACTCTTGAAGTTGCTATTGTGGACTTATACGTCTTATGCTCCCATTTTTCTAGCCTCCCACCGTCTTAATGCCTCCTCTTAATGTTTTTGCGCACGACATCATTTAACTGCACCTTTTTTGTGAATTTCCAGACGGGTAGGACGATGGACGTTGTGCAGGCGGCAATTCCTGTGACCGACGGTGTGGTTGAAGTGGATCCACCCACCTCCCGAACTGGTTCGTCACCGGAGTCGGCTTTGCTTGCAACCTCCGATGATGAGTATGTCCCGGCTTCGATGAAACGGGCGAGGAGGAAGGGTTCTAGCCGAAATTCGCGCAGAAAAGCAAGACCAAAACCCAGATCAAAAGCGCGTCCACCCGATAAACCCTCCCCCACGAAAACCGTCTACTCCCTCGACACCTCCTCTGATCATCATTTTGTTGCGCCGGAGCTTAAGGAGGATGTCTCTCAGGAACGCATTCTGAAGACTGGGGAAAATGCGCCAAAACTGGCTTCTCCCATCAACTTGTATGTTGTACATAACTTGCCTACTGAAGTGTTATAGTAGTGTGTTTATTTTGTCAAATAACGTGCGGTCTGACGGTTTTACTTGATATTGTAGTAGATCATTTTACCGTGCCACGTTTCTGTAGAGACAGTCCGGAGAAGGTCATTGTGGTAGACAAGCCGGCCGTCTCCGAAGTCCAGCCAACCTCAAAACCACAGCACCGCATGCCGAAGAGGAAACGCAAACGCCTCAAGCTAATCGCTGACGACTCCGTCTTCATTCCTATATCTGACGCAATGATGGTGAATTGCTCGAACCGGGAAAGTGGCCTTAACAACGAAAACGCATCACCCAGTGCTGCGGAGAAGGCTCCTTCCACTGGAAAAACTCCGTCTCGGACGTCAGAGGTGCGTCAGAATTGCTCCACGTCTACTTGGTCGCTAATCTTGTGCATGCTGCAGACTAAATTTGTTTTTTAACTAATGGGTTACTTAAAAATAGTAAGTAGGATGTATGTTTCGATTGTTCAATTTGATGTGGTTTACCCGAACCGCCAATGAGAACGAACCGACATATGTGGTTTGAGGGAAAAATGTCTTAATTCCCATTGCTACGTGGTTACTATCAAGTTTTTTTTAGAACTCCAGCTCTCCCAATGAGCCGAAAAAATCAACCTCGGAGAGACAAAGTCAAGACGCAAAAACTAAGGTAAAAACTGATGCTAATGTACTTTGTTATCTGCCTAATCGCGGACAATTTGGCACTTCACGGTGTTTGCTGTTTGAGTGTTATTTACTTGCATTCAGAAAGAGGTTGAATCGACGCGTTGTGGTCTGTCTGTAAACCCTAATTCCGAATTCTCTCAGTTCTCGACTTGTTTTTTTTGCTTCTGATGTCTCCCCTTAGCGGACACCTAAGGCAGGGTCTTCTTCTCAACACGACTGTGGAGTTTGGATTCTGTCTCGTGTGTGTGTGTGTTTTAGACGTGCAGCATCTTGCAGTGTGCCTCCGCTGGTGTGGGGTGTGGTTTGGTAGTGAGAAGAAGCCCTTTCGATTGCGTTCCACGCATCACTAGCTTGAAACCCCTACTAGACCCTAATGCTGTGTAGCTCCTGGAAGAGGCACCATCGCCTCAGTCCCCTTTCTTTGACCTATCGATTTCCGAAACTAGTCTTACTTTTCACCCCTTGTGCACTGATTGTGATTCGTGTCCCCCCCCCTAGTGCATTCTACTGGCAACTAATTAAGCTAAATGGCGTTGCTTTCTGTTCTTTTTTTCTAACTTTGTAGAAAAGACGTCCCTTGTCCATGATGGATGACCGACTAAGTGAGTAAGTTGAATAAGCGACACCTTTCAACTTCTGTTTAGCGTCACCTTAAACACCCCGAGCTGCCTGACTGGTCCCAGTGCATTTTCTTGTTTGTTCGTCTTTTTTTTGCGTTACCGAAATCAAAGTGCAGTTGGGTTTAAGTGCGTGAAGAGACACGGCTGTCACGCGGATTGACGTGCTTGTAGTTTGTGGAGCCTTTTCTTCGTGAAGCATCGGGAAATTTACCTGTTTAAGACCGTGTCTGCAGACCAAACTGACTGCCTCTTTGTTTGCCTAGTTTCGCGAATCCACCGAGCCGGCCGCGACGCCAAACCGGTCCTGCCACCTACGTGGTCAGCTTGAGAACGTAATTTCTGCCTTTTTTTGCCATTACATGACCCGTTTTATGACACATTGTCGCTCATTTTCTAACCCTGACCACGCTGCGTTTTGTGGCACATGCGTCAGCTGAATGAGTAGCCAATCCACTCTGTTTTCAGTCATGCCATTGGTCGCTGCACTTTTTTCCCCTCGCGTCCGAGTTAAAATCCCTCATTAGTATCGTCAGGTACTGGTGTAGGCACGAAATGACCTCACCAAGCCAACACGTCGCTGCTCACTTGCTAGACGTCCTTCCACCGACTCCTCATTCTGTTTGTGAATGATATTTTCTTTCTCATTTTAGGAAATTACGTCAAGGCGACGAGGATTGGTGCAGGCACTAGTCCTCAGACTAACTGTATTCTTAACTGTACAAATTGTAGCATGTTTTGTCTTTCTCAGACTGCGACCATCATTCCTTGTTTGTTAAGTCCTTTTGCTAATTTTGCCCAAAGCCGAGTGCATACTTGCCACCGCTAATTCGTGCCATTTTAAATACAACCATGTAACCTGTGTGTGGGTGTGTCGAAGTAATTGGGAGTTGAAGTGGCTAACTCTGGTAGGGGTGAGGGTTTGTTTAACGCACTAACCACTATTGTGTGAGAATATCCAGCAAATCTGTTGTAGCGTTTTTTGAGGACGTGTTTCTGCCCACGTCCGAGCACTGGACGCCCACCCACACACACACACACTTTCACACCCACCAGATGTCGTCAGTCATCTTTCCAGTGCGTCGTTAGTTCAAAATTAACCATCCGTAGTGCATAGTCGGGTAGGGGATTCTCGTGTTGATTTTACCCCAAGTAGAGAAGCATTTCCGGTTTAGTTTAGCCTCGTTACCCACGCGTCAGATCTATCTCAAACTGAGGCTTGTGTGCTGGTAAATACGTGCAATTATCTCCCCGGGGTGACTAACGGCACATCGAAATGCCAACTTATTATTAGGAATTAAGGTGCAAAGTAGAGTGCGGCCAGACTGTAAGTGCGGAATTAGGGAACTACTGTGGAGTTCCGTAAGTGGACATGCAAGCGCTGGTTCAGTGCTGCTTGGGAATTATCTGTTTGACAAAGGTTAGGCAAAGGAATTCGCCCTTTTTAGACAGCATTTCGCGATTAGCTTATGAAAATCTGTCAAGTCGTGGCTTCAAGTTTGCATGGGGCTTCGAAGGGGTAGATTTGCCGCAATCGCTGTCGATTCTGTTAAGTAGATTATGCCATTAGGAACTGCATTTAACACATCTGGTTTTGCCCAGAAATGCGTGTGTATGTGTGGAACACACGTGGTTATGATAGTGGAGAAACTTCATTCACATTCACCTGTAAATAACGCGCAATTCGGCAGCACTCACACTGCCTGCTTAAAACTGGAGCAACGCGGGGTATCTTTCGATTACCAAAAAAAAGTATTCTTTTCAAGGCATGGCGGCCGGATGTTGCCTACCATGTCAGCATCAACGTTGATTAATTGCTCCAACTATCTTGTGACTCGAATCAATCATCGCTGGTGTGATGACGCGGTGGACGCAATGAGATACGAAGGCCAAATACAAACAACCTCACAGCATCCGACGAACGTAGACTGAGATTGTGACAAGAACACATCGCCGTAGTCAGTGTCCATAGTCGTACCAAAAAAGTTGTCTGCGTACCTTTAGCTTCAGTAAGCCACTTTCTGCCGTCACTTGACAGTAATCTTGGAAGTAAGTTGTGTACCTTGAAAGGATGAAAGAGGCGTAGCTACAATCTTCAGAATTCAACCAGACAAAAAATACCTTCCGGCATACAGACCCATCTTGAGTAACTGGGTGGTCCAAAAATAGTATTCTGAATCCTGAGCGTTGGGGGGGGGGGAGGAGGTGCAGTTTGTGGCTTCCCATCGGAGTAGATTCGCATCACAGTGAAAGCGTGCCTTGTAATTAGCTGCTACGATTACAATTCAAGCATTTTGATGGTTTCCACATGGCGCCAAGGCTAATTTTTTGAATCGGTTGCACACGCACGTACCTCGACGACACACAATGACCATACGTCGCGGGTGAGTGAAGGGTTGTGCCCAGGTTTTCTCGTGGTCTCTCAAGCCTATCCTTCTTTCTTTCACACTGGGGGTGGGGTGGGGTAAAGGTATAGGGTCACTCCCTTTTTATTAAACGTGGAAACTATTTCGCCATCGTTTTAGGGCATTTCAGTCTGAAGGAAAGAATGCTTTTATTGTTCGCGTACAAAAGTCTGCGCATCTTTGTTTATAACTGATTCACTAAAACAGGTCACTCTTTCGTGAACCTAAACACTTGCAAACATGGGTAACTAAAGGAATTTGGGGGGCTAGGGTTATTATCTTCAATCAGACGTAGACTGTAGGGTAAATCTTTTTGCCCACAAATATATCGCCCATTTCCAATGAAAAGACGTCTGATCCCGAAAGATACGCACAAATGCTTCTTAAAACAAAGCTGTGATTGCTAATTCCAGAGCCTGCAGATTAGTCGTTGGACCTAGAGAAAGTCTGATACTAGCCAGGCAAGGCCGCAAGTCGAAAGTTAAGCACGGTTACCCGAATCGATGCCTTTGGCCTTGGTGCAATCGCTAGCCGATTTTAACATTTAGAAGGACTAGGCTCTGCACAGGGGTGCATCCAGTTGATGGTTGGTGAGCCACTAGTAATTTGGCAGCCGTAAATATTTCATGTCTGGGGTGATTAGTTGTCCGAGCTCAGGAGTAAATACCCTCGCATTTCAGGTGATTGAATAAAATGTGCCCACTCAAATCAAGAGAGAAGAAACACAGCAACAAAAATACGCAAAGACTTTCGTTTTAATTAACTCATTAGTCAGATACGTAAATCAAAACTCGAACTATTGAATTCATTTGCTATGTGCTTTAAAAAAATACCAGCTATTTCGTGTTGGTACTTTTTTGATAATGCACTCGTTGTCTGTCAGTGGAAATACAAATGTTTAAGTCATTTTAGTCGTGATGTGGAAAATTATAAGACATCTCCGGCAGAAACACTGGTTGTCCGTTAACGCTTAAAGGACAGTCGTGGTGTTACACAAGAAAGACAACGAAAACGAAGAAAAACTTTTTCTTCTCGAGGTAAGGCAAATTTAAGACCAACGCCGTAACTATGCCCGACGATGCACGCTACCGCAAGCTGTAAACACTTAATAATGACCAAGCTTTCCTGTGAAGCAGACCATTTTTTCCATTTTTCAAGGCGTTTCCCTGGATTAATAGCTCTAAGCTGGAGGTCAAAGGGAAGACTGCAGTGGTTCCCATCCATCCCATCTGCATGAGTCTTTTTTAACCAACTCAATGCTTGTGGTTTTTATACGGACGCAGCCAATTAACGACGCAGATGGGGCCTCCACACGTCCCGAAACTATGAGCATTTAGTGTTTTGATACCAAAACGTTCTGTGTAAAATGGACTTGGTTCCGCAGCGAACTTGCGAAAACCACAGGCCGGATCTGTACAACTGGTTTTGAGGTAATACCGTACTTGCGTGAGCAATTATATCGGTAAGTTAACCACTTTCTGAACAAATTAAGTGTAAGTTAAGACTGTGTGCCCACACCGTGCTATGATTATTTTGCAATGACAGTTCTATCCAAAGCATGCAGTCTTTGAACAGAATGCAAAAGGGCCTTTATCTGGTATAATTGGCACTGGTCAGTGTCACATGGTTTCTTATGCATTCGGAAAGTCAATGCTCATCTCGCCATGTCAGCCTAAGTTTTGCAGTCCAAATCACGCTGCGTCGTGTACCACGTGAGGTCAATTGGCAGCAACCACATGTGAGCCGGGTCGCGATTAACAAAGACGACCTTTTTGGTACACTGCACCGTCCCACGCAAGGTGACCCATCGATTGTGAAAAGAAGCCGGTTATTGTGCTTGGTGTGTGTAGCTAGAGTGGAATCATCTGGTATGATTTAGAAAGTTTTTAAAAAAATAATGACTTTACTATATCTTGGCATTACTAATTTACGCTGAACGAGCAGAAGGCGCAAATGGATATTCGGTTTAAAGTACAATTGATGATACCTGAAATAAATGCATCAACCCTAGTCCTAAATTCAAAAAGGTTCATGCGTCAGGAATTAACTGTTACTAGTTAAGCTCCAGTAATTTGAAACCACCTTTGACATTACAGTGCTGTATTCAATTTGCCAACTTTTGTCATGACATTCACTAATATCCGAGCGTTTTGCTTCTTCGTGAATTAATTAGGCCACAAGACATGCGATACGTTTGACTGGGAGCAATTTGCATATAAATTAGCCCTACAAGACCACGATTTGTCCATTATGATGGAGTTAGAGAAGTTAAGAGGAGAAGCTGAGTCTTGTCTTCTACTCACCGGGATGGCTTGGATACTTCCCCTGTCCTGTCAATACTAATATTTATTCCAGTCAGAAACTCTAGCAATTACCCGTCTGAAACGTTTGTGATTTCTTTCGGTTTGTTAAACTGTGTAGAAACAAGCCGTCATTGTGTGCTTGAAATAAATGCAAAGGAGAGTTATGGAAAATTTACTGACTGTGAAATGGTGAATGGCGACTGCAGGGGTACAGTTAAAATAAGACGCTTCCGGTTATGCGTAATCTTACGAACAAGTCTGCATTCACCTGTTTGGAACTCACGGTGGTAGGCGCAGTTAATGAAATCTTCAATGGAAATCCTCAATAGCTAAAACATGGCACTCGGAAGCCATTGACACAATGTACAATTCCCACATCAAGCGCCCCTGACATTGTGCAGTCGATAGATGACATTAGAAACAGAATAGAAAATCTCACTTACCACCTAGAGGCCGATACATGGTTTTGGGGTTACACTCGTCTCAGGATGATGCCCTGTTACCTTTTAAAAATTGCACCCCGGAAGCTAAACACGAACTGCAACCTGATCCTCCGGCCAAGTCTGCAATACCATCAAACTGCCAGGTAAAATTTTTTGAGTTGGCAGTTCGTTGATGCCATC